CTGATATATATATATATATATATATATATATATGTTACTATCCCTTTTCTCTTGCATCCTTGCTCCTCCCACCTTAAAATCCAATGTTATAGGAACTAAACCGGATTGACTAGTTTGAACAAGAAACTAATGAGCCAGTCGCCTGTCTAGTCTGATCCAACATAGTAGACCAGATGATCCATTAATTCTTATTATGCCCTTTATTTTTATTGAAATTACGTTTATTTATTGTTTTCATTTGGCCATTTTTAAATCATTTACGGATAAATATTTGTCAAGTTTAATTAAAGAGAAGAATAGGGTTTCAAAAATGAAAATTGTAATTTTAGAGGGAAATAGCTCATTTGGGGCACCTTGCTCTTTATCAAAACGCCACATTCCTTGGAGCTTTTTTCAAGCGATTTTCCACGGCAAATTCGTCCATCAATCCACATTTTTTAAGTTCCAAGTATATCCAAAAACTTTTTAATTGGTTGACATTTGTTGGAAAAAAATGGAGAAGGACAAATTTGGATTTGTTTTATGCATTTTTGTAGGAAGTCTTGTAGTGAACTTTGAATCTCTTTATTATTGATCATTCGATGTCCAATCCAATATCTATCACGTGGGGTTGTTTTTTCATAGGTTTGTTAACATGAAAAAATATTTTTTTTTGTTCATTTTTATAATTTTTTCTGAAATTTTGCGTGCTTTTTTTACTTTTTCGTTCTCACTTTAAACGTTGCTGCCATTTCCTCTAAGCAAGACTTTTATGTATTTTACTTTTTTTAAGATTGAATAATTGAATGAAATTTGAAGGTTATGTTATTAGGAAAAAATTGGGATTAGCCCACTAGTTCATATGAACATATGAGCCCAACGGTTCAGATTTAATCTGGGCTGATTTGACGGTCACGACCTCATTTTAGATTTGCATTTCATGTTTTTTTCCTACGAATCTAAATCACTTGAAGTTTTAGGCGTGTATTCTTATTATCAATGCGCACAAAATAAAAATAAAAAAAAATTATTTAAAAAAATGACCAAAACACCCTCGGAACTTTTTGAGGGTATTTTGGTCAATTTATTTCATGTAAAATATTTTTTTTTGATATTTTTCGAATATTCAACAATTTTTTATGAGCACATTTCTAAAATTGCAAGTGATTTGAATTTTTAGAAAAAAAATTAAAATTTAAATACTACCGGATATCCATGATCATCAGATCGTATCATATTCAATCTGGACCGTTGGGCTCATATATTCATATGAGTTAGTGGGTTAATCCAATCTTTTTCCATATTATTAAGGATATTTTGATTTAGGTATAATTTGATAGAGAGATATTTTCTTTTTAAGCTTGTTATTTATGACTTTATACAATTTATTATGCTGATTTTTTAAAATAGTAAAAAACCCACCATAAAAAAGATTAAACAATTTAAATATATTAAAAGACATCATGAATCACATACTCACATTTTGATTTACTTGATATTTTTTGATATTTCTAATTTTTTTTACAATTTTCACCATCTCACCCTTTTTCTTTATTTTTTCTAATTTTTATTTCTTTTATTAATTTACTAGTCCACGCGACCGGGGCCGGTCGAGGGGTTCAACTATAGCACTGATACAGTCACCGGTCTAAACCTAACAACATTGCTAAAACCCTAGTTTTACATCGTCTTTTCCGCTTGATTTCCGCTCGCTCTCATCATCTTTATATGACGAATACTCCTCTTTCTCGTCTCTCCCTCTAGAAAGCTCAGAGCAAATATCCAGGGCCTCGTTCCTCTTCAAAGTTCAAACCATCGAGAATCCAGGTAGTCTTCGAATCTCTTCTCTCTCTCATTCATTTAGAGGTCCAAGCTAAAACCGCCCAAAAAAACTTTGTTGAATCTCCATTGAAGCCAATCAGTAAAAAAAGCTCAGGTATTGTGTATTTTTTGGATTTGGGGTTCGCTGGAGCTGATTAAGCTGAAGTTTGTAACACTTAAGTCCCTGAAAACACGAAAATTGGGAAAGTGAGATCGAATCCTCAACCTCCAACACTTCATTTAAACCTTCTTGAGCTCTAAAAAGGGGGGAATGCTCTTTAAGCTCATCAACGTCGATTTTGTGGTTTTTTGAGCTAAAAAAAAACCACGACCCAAAAAATCGTGAAAATTTCTTTGAAAAAACCAGTGATTTATACATGAATTAATATTCTGGACTTCATGGAGCTTACTGCTTGGTAAGTAGATGATACTTGGTACCGCCTTGGGCTTGTCTATTTGCACCTTATCAGTAAATGATAATTCACTTCTCATAGAGAAAATGATCAATTTATTTTTCTCACATTTGGATATCTATGTCTTTGATGGTAGACACTTGGTGAATTATAGGCATCTTTGTATGCGAGCTCTAGGTAACTTTTGTTGATCTATTTGTTCAAATAAGTAGTTCAGATGGCAGTTTTGATCAATATTCTTATGTACATGTGCATAAGTTTTAGTGTGAGAAAAAACTTATCATGGGAATCTATCCCTTTATGGAATGTGTACCTGCCGAATAATTTAAGATTGGGTTTTATCATACTAATTTAGTGATTTATGCAGTTTAACCATTAATTAGATCATATGTTCCTCTTGCATGGCACTGAACAGTGATGAAGAGCAAGCGTCTGGTTATGGATGATGCTCTCTTTAAATTGATCCAGTATACTCTTTACTTGTAGTAATATTAGGCATAGAACCAATTTTTTTTTCCAATAGCTCTAAGTAGTAGTTGATTTGTTCAGCTTTGACAAGGACATGTATAGAGGCTGGGAAACAAGCTTTCAGGAATAAATACAAACTATTTGGCATCTTTTTCCAACATTGAGGTACACTCTCAGCTTGATGAAAAGAATGAGCGAGGTATATTTGAAAAATTGAGAAGCATCAAAATGTCTTAGTCTTCACAGCCCACCAACCATGTGATTAGTTATAATATCACAAAAGTATAGTGCAAAGTCGTATTGTCTAAATGTTGTATTTGCTGAGAGTAGCATTTTCTTCAAGGCAGAATGTGCCATGTTTTGCTAGTGTCATGGTGGGCCACCTTATTGTTCTTCTTTTCGTAGATAGACCAGCTTAGTTTCTGCACCAGGTATAAACTTTGTTGATAGTTACTTATGTTGCAAGCCATATGAGCACTCACGATTACTCTCTGATCTATGTTCATACCATATGTTCTCACAACCTAGATGGGAAAAAGGCCTTTTGAGAGTCTAGAAGCAGGGCGCTACTTTAGTTAAGTTGAGTCTGAAGTTGACTTTTTTGCCATGTTTACAAAGGCAACCGCTTAGGTTGCTTTGTCAACATTTATAGTTGTTTCCAAAAGGAACCGATAAGTTGGCTTTGGAAAGACCGCCATGCCTCAAATAGTTTATCTAAAGGCTTGCTTTTCCTATTGTTTGGTTTGCTTCATAGTTAGTGCAATTTCTATGGGCTCTTGCATATCTAATTACAATATGAAATCTTACGAAAATTATCATCAAGATACAAAATACAATAACTTAAACAAAGGTTTTTTGAGAATGAAAAGATATGGTATTTGTGTTTCTACTTTTAGCTCACATAGACAATTAAATGCAAAACTGTGGATATGAATTGACTTTTTTTTTTTAATATAATTAGCATTGGGTTCTCTAATGTTGCTATGATTTTGCACACATACATGACTATTAAAGTAAAGTAACTATGAAAATTATATGCCAATCTTTTGTGAGTATGTCGATGATTTAGGAGGAGGATTATGTATATACTTGGGAAGTATCCTACAACCATTTTTTTTTAATCTTTAGCAATAGTTATCATAATGCACTTCATAATTTTGTTGTGATTTCTTTACAGAATGGATCTGGACAATCAATTCTTACCAGTGTTTTGTTAGCACAGGCTAGAATTGGTTGGATGTACAAATACTTCTTTCAAAGACACCAGATAAATCAAAAGACCCTTCCACACATGTCCTAATTGACATGCATGTTACGTTAATACATTAACATAATTTAGAAGCAATTTAGAGAGTTGATGTGTGTGTGTGGAAACAATTCTAAATTCTAGCTCTGGTATACAGTAATATACACGCAGTGGTCCAGATTAAAAGGGAAGAAAATGGGCAATCATGGTTGCATGTAGGTCAATAAACTCTAATTTGTCTTTACAAATCTCTTTTGCATGAGATTTTGAGGATATGTTCCCCTCAATGAGGCACCGCAAAAAAAACCAAAAAAAAAAAGAGTTTGAAAAAATAAATTGATCGAAATACCTTTGAATATTTTGGGGCCATTTTGATCACTTATTCTTTTCGAATTAATTTTTTTTTTTCATTTTTTTATTTGTGCCTCGTTTAGAAGAATGGATGCCCTAGATTTTATGTGAAAAATTTGTGGAAAAATAAAATAAAAATACGTAACAAAATTGTGGCCTTCCATTTTTTCCCATTCTAGTCTAAGTCATTGAGCGAGTACTATTGTGTATGAGCTGGTGTTTATAATAACTTTCCTATTTATAATAATTTTCCTATATACATTTGTGTGTGTATGCATGGATGCGAGGTTAATCTGTGTACAACATTGTTATGGTGAATTAAGAATTTCCTATTGCGAAAATTTTAATTAAAAAATGCATTTAAAAGTCAAAAATGATATTAGCAATAAATTTTTTGGAAATTTAGAAAAAGGCATATTCTAATTTTAATTTTAATTTTAATTTTTCTTTTAAAATTCAAACATGTTTGAAAAATCTAGTGAGTATTTTTAAATTTGAAATTGACTTTTGGAGGGATTTTAAAATGACGGGAAATATGATTCAAAAAATCTAAAGTATATATTATTTTTGAAATGGATTTTTTTTGGGGTTTTGAAATTACAAAAAATATCCTCCTAAAATACATGCATTATTTATAGTCAAAAGTCATATTTGGACTTAAAAGGGCATTTTATGGTAAAAAATTATGGAACATGAAATTTTAAGTTCACCATGAGAGCGGTGTAGTACAGTGTTAGGAGGAACCTTTGACATAAATCAGATCGAAGGTCATAGAAACATTTGTAGGGTTAGGATATCTGAAGTGAAAGAAGCTCTGAGAAAGATGATGATAGGAAAGGCTTTATGACTAGATGTTATACCAGTAGAGGTTTGGAAGTGCAAGTAAGGAGATTGACATATTTTGATTGTTGAAGCTGTTCAACAAGATTTTGATAACAAAAAAAAATGCTAGATGAATGGAGAAAAAGTATTGTGGTACTTATTCACAAGAGCAAAGGAGACATTCAGAGTTGTGTGAACAATTCAGGGATTAAATTTATGAGCCACACTATGAAGTTGTGGAAGAGAGTGATTGAACAATGACTATGACATAAAATGAGTGTATCAAAAAATCCATTTGGTTTTATGCCGAGGAAGTCCTCTATTGGGGCTACTACTTGGGCAATTGATTGAGAAGTATAGGGACAAGAGAAAGGACCTCCACATGCTCTTTATTGATTTAGAGATAACATATGATAAGGCACCTTGAGAGTTAATTTGGTGGGTGTTGGAAATAAAAGAAGTATCTAGAAGATATATTGCCATGGTGAGAGATACGTATGAAGGAGCGTTAACTAGTATGAGGAAAACTAGTGAAGAGACAAGTGGGTTTTCAGTGATAGTGGGCCCGTATCAGGGTCAGTGTTGAGCCCTTATCTCTTTGCTTGGTTTTGGATGAGTTAGCTAGGCATCTATAGGATGAGGTATCATGGTGTATGTTGTTTGTGGATAACAGATCTTTGATTGATGACACTAGAGATACCGTTAACACAATGTTATAACTTTCGACAAATGCTCTAGAATCTAAAGGTTTTACAATTATATGGATTAAGACAATACATGGAATGCAAATTTACTAATAATAAGATTAAATGCAGAATTAGTTAAATATTGATGGCCAAGAAGTAGATAAAAGAAATTATTCTCGAAATCTCGGACGAAGTAGAGACGTGCTTATGGAGTCTTATGTGATTGTCGTGTACTTATAAGAAGGGGAAGTTCTATAGGACGGCTGTAAGACCTGCCATGCTTAATGGGATGGAATGTTGAGGATGAGTGTAGCTAGGATGACGTTGTTGAGATGGATGAGTGGCAAGACAAGAAAGGATAGAATCTAGAATGAATACATTTGAGAGAACTTCGGGCTAGCTCCAGTAAGCGATAAGGGGAGAGAAAATAGACTTAGGTGGTGTGGTCATGTGTAGCGTTGACTAGAACAACAATGGTTAGAGATGCGTGATTTGATTCAAGTTAAGACTCCAGAAGGGTAGGAGGAAGGTTCAAAAGGACATGGAGGTAATGAGAATACATATGGTGATGTGTGGTCTATCTGAGGCTATGGCTCTTGATAGAGCAAAATGGTGGAACACGATTCATATAGCTGACCCAAATAGTCGGCATAATGTTTGGATGACGATGATGATGATTAGAGTGGTGTAGCCCCGAATGTGAATGTGTGTGTGCGTGTGCGTGTTTGCGCGCGTGTGATATATACCTTTATTTTAATTAAATTAGGGTAGCATCTTTTTGTTTATTGAAACAATTTTATAATTTATTTTCTTAAAAATTTGCCGTTAATTGTTTTCTTAAAAGCTGCCTATCATGCTTTGTCTCATTATATTCACTATGATATCAACGTCTAGTGATTATTTGTTAAAGAAGGCTTACCCTAGGGATGATTGTAGTTACTCTTTCATGAGCATTGGCTAATTATCTCAGCATCCAGAGCATCTTTTATTTACTGGCTAAAGCTTGACATAGATTATAAGTTGGCCAAATTTTGCAAATCGTCGGGGGATTCACAATATATCTTGACATTTCGAGCTATGGTTGTCACCATACCTAGGTAGCTTGCTGTCCAAACTTGATTGAGCTCGTAATGAGCCAGGTTTGTGGAGCAGAATTTTTGGTTCAATACGCTGAGCCAAAACGAACCGACAAGCTTGGTTATTAAACATCTTAAAATGAGACAAGCTTTCCAAATCGTGATATTCAAGATGGCCAAATTTTTGACAAATCACATTTTGAGCTACCGGTGTCACCATACCAAGGTAGCTTGCAATCCAAACTTGACTCAGTTTGTAATGAGCTCGGATTGTGGAGCAGAATTTTCGTCTCAATAAGCTAAGCCTAGACAAACATGCAGACTTGTTTATTTAACATATCAATCTTAATATATGACAAGCTTGGCTTGAGCTCAATATTGAGCTTGTCGAATGTATATGAAAACCTCACTTTTGCTACCACAATTTATTAGATATTCAAAATTGCCACATTTCTTTTCAGTTTATGAGAACTGCCAACAAGTCTCCTTTAAGTCTTGAATTTCTACCACTTTTTTATTTCTTTTTTCAATTGACTTCCAAAACTTACTGTTGTGATTATCTCAGCAGATTATTTGTCATCTCTCTCTCTCACTCTGTCACTCTTTCTCTCTCTGTATCTCTCAGTTCAAAATATAAAAGCTCCTCCTCTCTTTTTCCATATTTCACAAGAAAAGGCATGCTGTCTTTGAACCTAAACCTATGGAGCCCTTCTCCCAACCTAGAAACCCAGGGTATTTGGCTGCTTGGATAGAAACAGATAGTGGGTAAATAAGAGAACAGATATTTTTAGGATTAGAGAGAGAAAGAATGCGTCGGAAACCATAGACTTCAGATTCATGAAGAGAGAGACCTAAAGGCTTGCTAGGTTTGGGCATATAGAGAGAACATTGTTTTTTGTGGTTTGGTGAGAGCAAGGATTTCCTAACTTACGTGGATATGTTCTCTAGAATCTTGCTTTAGTGCTCCAGGAAAAGGATCAAGCGATTTCAATTTTTAAATTTTGGGATCTTGATCCCTCTATTAGAGATCTTGATCGTTACCTTAAAGACCAAGTTACTAACCAAGTTGATGATTTTCTTTACTTATAGCTGGCTAGCAAAGCAATCGTAAATTTTATATAGTTGCATTTGCTTGCTGACTAAAAATAAAGATATCCCTACTAAAGAATAACTATAGTGCTAGATTATATATTCTCTTAAAGGTTGTGAGCAAGATCCCCAAAAGGTTGGGATTGAGACCCCAAAAGGTCGGGATTGAGATCCCTAACATTTTGGGGATCACGTTGCTTAAAATATGCATTTTAGAAACAATGCTTCCAAGCATAAGGATTTTTTAGCCTTTCACCATCCCCCACTCCCAATACTGATTGCTCTTGATCCCAACAGCTATGGGAAGAGCACGTTGTGCTGGGGAAGCGAAAATGATGGCAACAAATGAGAAGACTTTCTAGAAAGCTTGGGATCTTGGTGGAAAGTTAACAAAAACTTGAAGGGAAGGGCACAATTTTGGTGTTATAGGAACTATGGTGGCAGAAGTGATATCAGTCAAACATAAATCAATTATGTGAAATTCAATTGAAATTCAATTGAAAAAAGTTACGCAAGATTTTGAGGTCGATTCTCCAATCTTTGTGCTCAGTGCAAATTGGGGCCTCTTGACTTTTGTAAAAAATGTCCTAAAACAACCTAAATGGAAACTTCCAAACTAGATTTCCGTTATGAGTACCGCTCTAATCGATCCAAGCTCTTGAAAATTTTGGGTGCATTGTAATCCAATAAAAATCCCTTGAGATTGAGATTTTCGATATTTTTTCGTAAGCCTATTATTTGATGGATAACTAAAAAATAGGCTTAGGGAACAATTTTCATCTAGAATCGGCAAACCGTTGTTAAGAAATCATAGCTTTTCGAATTCAGCCAAAACCTAGGTCAAAATCTTGATCTCTCAAATCCGCAAAATATGTGGCATTTTTCGTGAACTCCATCCTTGATAGATCATTCAAAACCTCGCATCCACACGAAATTTGGGCTAAAAAAGATGCTTTAATGGTGAAGAGTTGAGAAAAAAGGGGGGTTGGTGTTATAGGGTATTTTTGACTGACTTAGCCTCCGACACGAATATGGAAGGAGCCAATCACGATCGGGTCTCGCCAGTACCAAAACTGGTTGTGGACTACGGAAGCACTGACCAAATAGAATCGTTTTTAGAAAAGTGACAAAATGACCCCAAAATTGGTAGAATGGTGGCTTGGGGTGCTTTAAGGATTCTCGCCAAAGTTTAGCCCAATTTGACGAGTTTAAGAACAATCAGGACAAAATCTGGTCCGAAAATTCAAGTCCTATCACCCTGAAAATGGATCATATAACAACACTATTTTTCGGGTTTCATACGAATATCGAACCACCACCATTAGATCCGAAACTTCGAAAGACCCCCAAATACCAAATTTTGGCTCAATCGGACTATCCGGGACCATTCTGGGCCCAACTTACCAAAAAATGGTGGGTTTTACAGTATTGCAGTGCCACCTTGGTGAACCTGTGTTTTCTCATTTCGAGATGAATTTCAAATGCTCATAACTTGCTCATTTTGAGTCCAATTACTCGCAAATTCGAACACGAGCTAAATCTCGTTAATATGCTCGTTGTGACATATGGCACGCATCATGGCGTGACCCAAAACGAGAGAATGTTTAGAGAGAAGATAAGCTCGAAATTTGAATTTTTCAGATTTGAAAGTGAAACATCTCTATATTCAAGAGGCAATATCTTGAGATACCGATGTTGGATCGTCGAAAGTATGGGTTCGTTGTGACCGTGCTTCAAAGGGTTTCAGTTTGATATAAGTTTTGTGTGTGATCGAAGGCCGGATGACACTTTTCCCAATCTTTCTCTCTCTCTCTCCACCCAATCTCTCTCCCTAAATTCTCTCTCCCACAATCTTTCCCTCTCCCCATAATACTCTCTCTCTTAGCTTTTTCTCTCTCCCCTGCATGCAACTTTTCTCTCTCTTTCTCCAAACATATCTCTCTCTCCCCCTCACCCCAATCTCTCTCTCATATGATCTCTCTCCCTAATTTTTTTTATCTCTCTCTATCTCTCTTGTCCCTCACGATATTACTTTCTCTCCTCTCTCTCTCTCCGCCCCCCTCAATTTTCTTTCTCTCTCTATCTCCCCCGCTCAATTTTCTTTCTCTCTCTATCTCCCCTAATCTCTCGGTCTTACCCAATCTCCCTCTCTTTCTTAATCTCTTCTCTTTACCTCCCCCAATCTCTCGGTCTCTTTCTCTCCCTCTCTTTGCACCCCCAATTTCTCTGCTACTCTCTCCGTTCTCTCTCTCTATTCTTTCTCCAACCTTTTATCTCACCTCCTCTTTGTCCCTCACTCCAGTGTTTCAAAAAGCGCTAGGCGGTCGGGGGGTCCAGACCGCCTAGCACCTAGGTGGGTGTCCAAGCGGGTGCCCAAAACTTGGGCGGCCCAATAGATTTTTGTTTTTTTTTGGGTTTTCTCTCTCTAAAATATCCTCTAATGGGTTTTAAGTTTCAAATGAACCGAAAACCCATAATTTTGCCCATTTAGTAATAAAAAAATGACCAAAAAATACCCTCAAGGAGCGGTATTTCCGCCCTTAGGTGGACACCTAGGTACGTTCAGGCGGGTGCACAGGGTTTTTTGCCTATTTTTGGTGCCTAGGCGGACGTAAAGCGCTAGGTGGTCCGCGTTTTGAAACATTGCCTCACATGAAACTCTCTTTCTCCGATCACGCACAACACTTATATCAAACTGAAGCCCTTCGAAGCACGGTCGCAACGGACCCATACTTTCGACGATCTGCCTCGGGATCTCAAGATATTTCCTATTGAATATGGAGATGTTTCACTTTTCAAATCTGAAAATTCAAGTTTCGAGCCTATCTTCTCTCTAAAAATTCTCTCGTTTTCGAGCCCATCTAGAGTAGCTAGATGGGGAAGTAAAATCAATCCTTGTTCATACGTAGGTTTCTCTGGTTCAAAACAAGCCACTTAAAATAGATTCATTGCTCCCGCCTAGAATACGATTAATCCGGCATGGGCCACGCGAGCCCTAGTAATTTACCAGACAAATTGATGAATTGGGCATTCCCGGCCCACCAAGCAAAACTTGTGGTTAAGTCAGTCAAAAATACCTTATAACAGTCGGATTTCTTGCCCACTTTATATTTATGAAAATTAACCAACCTCGGTGTGAGTTTTGAAGGACTCGCTTGCCTAGTCCATCAAGAACTCGCCAAGTTCTGGAGTACTCCCCCAAGTTTCTATAGTAACTAGGGTGGCCATTGTTGCAATATAGATGCGTCCTGAGTTGCTGGCATACCGGGTGCTGAGCTTGTGTAAGACTGAATCGACCAGCCGGAGTTTGCTAACACTAGTCTCATCTATACTGGGAAAGACTGCTTTATTGTTTGTTTTGCTACTAAAATGGGATCCCCTTGTTTAATTTTTGTGCTATATGCAAAACGGTTACTGTTTACTGGCTTAACTACTTAGGGTTTTTTTTTTTAGCTGACATGTCCACCTGAAATTGAATATTTTTTTTTAATTACATCCTTGAGTTCAGGAGTTATGAGGAAAATGTTTTTGAGACTTTACTTTTCTATTGAGTTTCATTGGTAGTGCTTTGTTTCTTTTTGCAAATCAATTCCAGTACTCCTTAACTGATGTTTTTTTTATTACTTTGTCTTTCAGAATTTTGAGGTGATAGATAATTTATAAAGAGATTTAAGAAAGACATGGGATGGAGATTCATGGGTGGTTCTCATACTTCTTTCAAGCAACTTGCAAAGGATGCATGGCACTATATTGTCGCTGTTCCTACATTTATCTCCCTCATGCATGTCACAGAAACTTATGCCTTTTCAACAGAACTGGTTAGTTGTTTTCCTTGTGATTTTTGCTGGCATGAAATTTACCCTTTTGGTTGCTTTCTTTCATCATGTGCCGACTGCTGAACTATGTCATGCTGATCACATCTTGCTAATATGTACACGGATTTGATTTTGTTTTGTCTAATTTCCTGATGGTGATTCTATTGTTGCTCCTATGATGAACAATATCTGATACAAGCCAACCGAATATTTAACATAAGAAAACTTATGAGAGAACTTGGGGTAGTTGGTCCATTGATGTTTAACAATGGGCAAACCTCTAGTTTAAAAACACAATCTTGGACTCAAACACAACCTTCAAACTCAGTAGGTTATTGGATTGGGTTGACTGTATGACTTGGTGGAAATGTATGGCGAGAGCATGTTTTTGGGTGGGTGGTTGGGTGCACGCACGCGTAAGAGAGAGAGAGAGAGAGAGAGAGAGAGAGAGAGAGAGAGAGAGAGACGCTGTACTCGTAGTACGTGGTAGGTACGTAACGTTACGTTCGTTCTTACGTTACGTACTAGTACGTACTTTACGTTCGTACTACCTAC